TTATAAAATTGCTTATTCCCATTGTAGAAGAAGAAGTCAATGCTCATATTATGAACTATAATTACTCATGAACTATCTTTAACTTGTTTTTCTTTTATATATTAAGGTCTCTGGTAATAACGTGCTGAGGTACAAATATTGAAGTTGTAAAAGTTTCAGAAAACTTGGTTCGAATAAATATATTAATATTTTTATCTTAGATCTTTATCTTTCCCAGATTTTGGAGGGTTTTTAAAATATTTCTTAAAATTATCTTGTGACATATGTCCTACCTAGGATATGGAAAGATCTGCTCCAAATTTTTTTTCCGAAACCGCTTTATATATGCAATAGTTCCAAACATAGTATAACTGTAATGTCGTGATCACCTTATTCTCCAGATAATGCATTTTCCGATTTTTTTTGTTTTTTTGAACACAGTTAAATCCTTAAACGATAAGATTTTTCAACGATGAATGAGATAAGAAAAGAATCAAGAATTATTGCTATACCTAAAGTGATGTTCCAAATATGGGCTTGTAACTAATTGAAAACGGTGACCCAGAAGTGAATATACTGTTATATACTGTTAGGTTAGATAAGTTTCTGTTACCTATACCCGATCATATAATAATATATATTAATAATATAATATATAAATAATAATAATAATAATATAATATATAAATTTTAATAATATATAAATTAATAATATATAATTATAATGAATAATATATAAATTTTATTTAAAAGTGGAATAATATACTAAAGGGAGGGGGTACATCTATAGTTCCAAAAGTGCTGTACTGACTATATACTATAGTGGCATACGTGTATAATATACAAGAGGGATTAATGCTTATAATTGAATGGACATTAAAGCTTAAGTAAATTATCATCTCATCACAGCTAAATATATAAAGATACATTATAAGTAAGGAAAATAAATTTTTTTTTAACATAAGCTGGATTTGGTCAAGATTAGTTCAAATTAATACAAAACTTTTACATATGATATGGGTTTTTATAAATGTTAATTAATTTTTAAGTTCTACTGATAATCATAACTAATTGTTATGTTTCTGTTATTGCCGAAACTCTGAAGGGTTCTCTGGCGCATACGCACCCCTTTTAGTGTTCATAAATAATGTAATTAAAATAGTCAAGTGAGTTTTGCAAAGTAAACTAAGTCATAAATGTTATTTTTTGTTGCAATTTCCCGTCTTTCTCGGTTTATGTAAATATACTAAACAATTGAAATTTCACTAAAATTAACGAGAAATCTGCTGATTTTTTATTAAGTTTTTTCTTTTGTGAATTTAAAATTTATTACAAATTGCTCTATTCTTAACTAAAATAGGAAATAAATTGATATAATTATTTTTAAACAAAACCTAAACTATATATGTATATTGAAAACTAAATAATACATAAGATAATATATATACATATATATAATAAACTGTAATTAATAAACTCTGTTATAGATAATAAATTATTATCTATATTGAAAAAAAAAGTTCTAAAGTATTAAAATGACGTCAATTCGATCACTACTCATTGAGTCTTCATCTGTAAAAGTTGACAATCTTTCAACTTTCACATCAATAAACGGTATTCTTTCTGATAAGGACTTATCTTATTTTATTTTTGTAACCTGTCAAAATGTATTTTGAATTGATTGACCATCCTTAGAGAATAATCACCAGATATAATCCCTAGTCACTATGTTTTGTTTTAAAAGTTATATCTTTGTTTTGAAGAACAATAATGTTAATTAAATAAAAAACTGATATGGTGTGTTGATGAACTCGTCATAATGGTTAGAGAGTTCGGAGCATCGTTGAGAGAATTCGAATCGTAGTATTGAAAGATCATGTCGATAAATAAACAATAATAAAGACTTTCAAGACTTTTCCTTCATTGTTAGGCGAAAAACTGTTTTAAAATTCCTCGTATGTAAACGAAAACATGTATAAATAAAAATAAACTCGCTGCAGTACTGCATTTCTTTCATAAAAAGTGAATCCTTATTTTTATTCCATTCCATGGTTCCGCACAGAATTTCGACAACAGTGTTTAGTTTCATTGATAGTTTTAAAGTTTTAGACTGATTTCTTTTACCCCAAAATATACTTTAAGGTTTCCGGCATAATTTATATTAGCAGTAATTTTTTCTTTCAGCAACAACAATGCTCTTGAAATCTTCAGAGTTAGGTTTTACTCGTAAAAACCTACTCGTCTTATGTGTTAGTTCAGCCAACTAATGGGGCACTGTGACATTGCGCCTATGCTTCAATGGTGGCTAGTTCCAATAAGTCTATTATGCAGGAATTGCCCAGATGAAGAGAAGGTAGAATCTATCAACCATTTCCTGTGTCTCTGTCTAGGCCTGCAGACAAGGCGACTTCAATGTCTTTAGCATTTAACATATATATTTTAAAAGTGATGCCAATTTGTTTCAGTCAGGCCTAATGTTGTGTGTTTTTTTTTTTAAAGTCTTAAAGACGGCTATTATATAGCATAATTGTGTATAAAATCATGAATAAACTTATTTTGATCTATGTTCGAATTATAGTTTTAACTTGTAATGATTTAATGATTAATTCATATAAGTTTCAAATATATAATTGTTTTTGACACCCGTTGATTCGTAACTATAGCTCTAAGTCACTAATAATAATTAAGATGGTATATGCTTGCTGTATATTACTGCGAATACTACGAGCATATGAATATCTATATAAACTATAATAGAGCATATATAAACTATATATATATCGCATTTCTCACGGTCCCTAAGTCGATGTATAAAATATTGAAGAGAACTTAAGAAACTTAAGTTTCACTTACTGATGACTATAAAAGATAATCAGTTGTTATGGTTTAAAGATATGACAATTTCTTATAGTCACGAATAAGCTTACATTTTTTTTATATCTCACGTTTAAAGAAATAAATACGAGTATTATATGTGCATCATATGATGTACGATGTACCATAGTAATGGTTGAAAATATTAGGTTTCCCTTTATTTGTGCAGTTATTAATCATTGCAAAACATTTTTGATATTAATGTAAATATTTACAATACATAAACAATTATAATTTTATGGACTAATTTAAATATAGAACTGTCGGTAAATATTTACTCGCATTTACCTGCACTATAAGACCGCCACGCTTCACCTGATGATTTAATGTCGAACATATTTCTATGCATGTAAATATGTCTTGTAAATATTGTAAAATACAATATTATCTATGAGATATCAAATTGTCTAATATAAAGTGATGGAAAGTATGGAAAAGAAAAATGTATTAAGATATAAATGTATTTATAATATTGTCGTGAGAAACGATGCTGAAGGTGATTACTTGATATTCGTTGGATAGTTATCAATCGTTTGGGGTGAGAATTTCATTTATTTGGTCTCAGATAATTGTCAGGATAGTCCATACAGATCTTGAAACTAGAAGAAAATTTTTAAGCAAAAATTTCAGATTATTTGGACCCAAAACTTTCGAATCTTTAAACAGCTGTTGTGAGAGAACTTTTATATAGTGCTTTTATAAAAGAGCATATTTAGGTGTTGTTTGTTGTTTTCTAACACAAAATAAAGTGTTTTGAATATAAAATAACTTTGTCTAGGTTTAAATTAAAAAACTGGAAAAATTGAGCAATTAAATTCTTACTCAAAGTCTTACGATGATATATGGGAGAGAAA